TATTAATTGGACAATTATAACACGGAAGTAACTTATTTTTTTAATTATAATCTTAAATCCGATGTCACAAAACTTTTACTGGCTGAAATGAAAAAAAAAAACTTGCAACTTTATTTTTAAACTGTGCACCATCAATCTCATAGACAACCTCCTTTCTTTAATAAATGCAACAGATAAAATCACTGGCCGTGTAGAAAAAAAAGCATCGAACGGCTCCTATAATGACCTCATTCCATTAAATGGGTCATTCCACCCCGTATCTGGGGTCAGTACCCTGTGGTAACAGGACTATAGTTTTTTAGATGCTAGAGGCCATTTTTTATCTGGCTCCCTTGCGCCTGCGCCTGATTTTGGTTAAATAGATACCGTTACGATGGGCTACAAGAGAGCGGTCCTTCGGGACGCGTCTTGAGATATTGCTAGATCAATCATTATTTTTCTATTTTTTTGTTTTTAAAAATATTTTATTTTAACTCCATAAAGTAACATTAACTAGACACATTTATTGAAAAAAGTTAAAATGTAATTCATATGCGTTCTGGAATAATAATTTCGTATGTAATTATTACGATAAGTGGTTATAATTGTTGCAGGAAGCAATCAAATATTTAGGTTTCCGTCATTTCCGTAACTTGAAAAGTTTATTTGGCATGCGTCAATTTATTTATTTTTAAGTTCAAATAGCTTTTGTTATAGCTCTACTACGAGTAACAATTTCGCCTTTCGTTTCCTTAAAAATATGCTCCAATATGTTTCAGATAGCACTTGCAATCAATCTTTTTTTACAGACTACAAAATTCATATTATAGAATTCGAACGAATTTAATTTAAAAAGTTATAATACATATTATTATTATGTATTTCCAAATTCTTTTTTTTTTCTAACAGCTAGCACAAGCACATTCCATCTTCGTTTAAAACGTTAGTCTAGTTTTCAACCGACTTCAAAAAAGGAGGAGGTTCTCAATTCGACCCGTATGTTTTTTTTTTCTATGTTTGTTACGCGATAACTCCGCNCTATAGTTGAGTTTTCAGTGCTGAAGATATGTTTTTAGAAAAGTTGTGCCTTAGAATTAATTGTATAATAGTGTTAACTACCTAATTCATCCATTATTAATTTGACAATCATAACACGGAAGTATTTTTTTTGTTTATTTTAATCTTAAATCGGATGTCACAAAACTTTTACTGGCTGAAATGAAAAAAAAAATCTTGCAACTTTATTTTTAAACTGTGCACCATCAATCTCATAGACAACCTCCTTTCTTTAATAAATGCAACAGATAAAATCACTGGCCGTGTAGAAAAAAAAGCATCGAACGGCTCCTATAATGACCTCATTCCATTAAATGGGTCATTCCACCCCGTATCTGGGGTCAGTACCCTGTGGTAACAGGACTATAGTTTTTTAGATGCTAGAGGCCATTTTTTATCTGGCTCCCTTGCGCCTGCGCCTGATTTTTGTTAAATAGATACCGTTACGATGGGCTACACGAGAGCGGTCCTTCGGGACGCGTCTTGAGATATTGCTAGATCAATAATTATTTTTCTATTTGTTTTGTTTCAAAAATATTTTATTTTAACTGCTTAAAGTAACATTAACTAGACATATTTATTTGAAAAAAGTTAAAATGTAATTCATATGCGTTCTGGAATAATAATTTCATTGTAATTATTACGATAAGTGATTATAATTGTTGCAGGAAGCAATCAAATATTTAGGTTTCCGTAATTTCCGTAACTTGAAAAGTTTATTTGGCTTGCGACAATTTATTTATTTTTAATTTCAAATAGCTTTTGTTATAACTCTACGAGTAACAATTTCGCCTTTCTTTTCCCTAGACAAATGCTCCAATATAATATTAAGACAGCACTTGCAAACAATTTACACAATTGGTATAATAGAATTCGAACGAATTTGAAAATTTAAAAGATTCTATTTCCAAATTCTTATGTTTTCTAACAGCTAGCACAAGCGCATTCCATCTTCTAACATCCATCACAACTGGCTGCATCCCATTTTCGAAATTTAAAAAGTTCTATTCTCAATTTTTTTTCCATCCCATGTTCAAAATTTAAAAAGTTCCATTTTCAAAATCTCTTTTTCTAACAGCCATCTTGTCTTCGGATGTACCCGGCGGAGCGGTGCGGTGTGGCGCGTCCCTTCCGCATTCCCGCGGCGACCCACTGCGCCACTGCCCGCCTGCGCCTGATCCTGCCGAGAGATGCGCGATCGCTGTATCGATAGTTGTGCTTTTGTATCGATTAGCGTTGAAATCGGTAAGTTTTTGAGTGGCGTTGCATGCAAGTGCAGTTTTTAGAATGCCAATCTAAGAATTTACTGCGAATACAAATGTTTGCTCTTTTTTAGAGACCTTATTGACTGACATTGGTGTCTGATATGACAGGATTGGAAGGGTTAAATTGCTGATTAAAGCATTAAATTATCTTTATTATCGGATAAACGGGTTGATACAAGCTCTTATTAAACGTGATGATGATAGATGACGATGTGATGTGTGTGACGTGCGCTACACATAGAGTTTTACCTATAAATGTAGAGCATACCAATTTGACCAGTACCTACCTAAGTAGTGTGGTGTAGTGCCCCATGTCGCTCTTATTCTAATAACAATCCAGTACCAGAGTGCAAAGTGTACTATAAATTACGAATCGTAATCAACTTACCAATTTTCATCTCTACCTTTTGATTTCTCCACCAAATTATCGACGTTTCCCTCGACAAAACACCTTCCACCACTAGCCGATGCTTAACGGGTCCCAGCCCTACATAGCTTAGCTTACATAGGTACCGCTAAGCCATACATCAATGGTTAGTGCTTCGGCTATAGCTTATTAAAGGCTTATCTAGAGATTGCGCCAAGGAATTTAGGACTAACGGGCCCTGCTCCAAGACGATATGCGGCCCTGGTACTTGCGTTTAGATGATTCTTGTTTATGTTTTGTAATAGTTATCTAAATGACGAAGTTAAGTATGGCCGGTTGTTGCTGGAATGTTTTGTATGAAGCATATTACGATGTTCGTATTGATGCTTCATGCCACATGCCTCAATTGGTGATGTAGATTCAAAAAGATGATTAGTGTCCTTAATTTATTTTTATACTTACTTGATGCTCCGTCACATATGACTCATAATATATCACGTCATATATGGACAAAAACGAGACTGTTTGTTGTGTTGTCTTATCTATAAAATTAAATTTAAATTACTAACACACTGCAGTGCATAGGTAAATCTCATAAACTTAAAAAATTAAGCTGAAAAGCTATGACAAGTATCTTGCGATGCTTCTGCTCAGTTCTGGTCCTCAATACCCGATGAAGTAGTAGAGTTTATATTTAAATACCTAATTTATGCTGTGGGCCTGTGATGCATTCAAGAGCTTCTTAAATAGTCTGAGAAAAAAGTGCTTTTGTGTGAATTTAATCTGATTATATAGTTTTTAGACACGATAGATTTTACGAATCCTCTATATCAAAAGTTGTGTCTATAATATCAAGTATCTACACCTAGTGGGATTCGAACCCTCTACCATGAAGCCATTGCAGTAAACAATCAGACTCACGGTTTTTTTAGTTGAGCAATGTCGGTAACATTATGTATTATGCATCGTTCTTACTACCGTATTTTATTTATATTTTTTCCAACAATTACTCAATATTCTCAACAAAATTTTTAAAAACTTAAAGAAAATAAGGTTATTATTTTTCTATCGTGTGGGTTTGTAACAAATGAAGTCACTCCCCTGGTAGGTATAAGACTTTTGAATCTATAGAGATGTCTGACAACGGTCAATGGGATCGACCATCAAATCACCGAATCATTTCCTTTCAATTAGTAGATTCAAGTTTTTAATATCTTTGACCAAATTGAGAACACATTTAATACACTTCGTGAGTCACATCTAGGAATCGAACCCAGAACTCTTTAGTCACTGAACCACAAAGGCCAAAAGAAACGTAGCTTACGCCCGTATTCACAAACATTACTATGAGGTCTTACAGTGCACGTGGACGCACAGGGTTACACACGAATCAATCACAGAGTTCTATTCAACGCTGTGCGTTCGATTTGCTGCTTCACTTAAGCAAGCATCGTTTGTGAATACGGGCGTAAATGATTTGCGATACTAAAGATAATAATCGCTATGTAATAGGATAAAACTCAATAAAACAGGTTTAAAATAAATAAAACTTCATCGCTAATTGCAAATAATATAAAACATCTTTATTGTCCCATTAATTTTATTCCATAATTACTTACTTACAAATAATTTTAATTATACGTCCTAGGGTGGGATCTCTCTGAGCCTTTTACATAAGGAAAAGGGAAAATATTTGCACGAGCTCAATACAATTCAGTCTTACAGGCAACACTGAATTAATTACATTTTATTTCAACAAACTATAGTTATTATTATAAATTTATTAATCCAATCTTATAAGAAAAACGTGCAATTTGGAAAATAATTACAAAGAAACATGAGTATGGAATAGGAAAACCATTTTCATTCGTTGTTCGTTCATCCCGGTTTTTGAAACAGGGACGCGCGCGATAAAGTTTTTCTGTGACAGACAAAACTCCACGCGGGCGAAGCCGCGGGCGGAAAGCTAGTATTAAATAATAAAGGTTATAAAATTTTCACGATCATCTGGGCCACGCTTTGTCTCTTTCTTTCCTAGGCAAAGTGAACGAGACTGAACATGTTTCAAATGAATTAAAATCTATTTAAAAGCAGAAGCCTTGCTTATTTACATACAAAGCGGAAGTTTAAATGGTAACTCGGATATGTTGAAGTTACGTATACACGGGGTGAAAAACTAAAACTAAGTCAGTTCCTATATACGGAAAATTTTTGACGGTTCCTCAATAATTTACAGCGGTGAAGAACACTACAAAAAACCCATTGCCTCTTTTGACTTGTCTTTAAGTCTTAACCTAGGCGCCATTTTACTGATACCGTTTCAGGGCATAGACAATATGGGATCGTACACTATTCACAAATCTTATAATTCCTCGAGAGCAAAAAAAAATTGACACTGGCTGAATGCGCAAACTGCACGAAGCCATAATAAAAAAAAAACAAATAAAAACGACGATTTTAAATTAAGAATGAATCCAGCACATTTTAATTCATTGCTACATTCTATTTTTATTTAAATTCAAATCTTTGAAAATAGAACCCAGAAGTGACGTCAAAAGGCGGGTATTTCTTATAAAAAACAGGTTGGCAGTTTAAAAAAGTATCGCAATTGACTGTGGTGTACGATCCCCTATTTATCAGTAAAACTGGCAATGCTTACATTTAAATAATTTATATAAAAAACAAATGCATGAAGGATATGTGCATTACACAGATGTGTTGTCAGTCGTATATCTTAAGATCTAGTGAGTATTTTACGTTGATCTATGGGAGGATGGAATGGATGATAAGCTGATGAGGTCATGAGCATCTGTTGGAGACGTGTTCAGAAGTTGAAGCTTGATGCAGTCCACCTGGAAAAAAAGAAAAAGGATGTAAGTCAAGAGTAAATAACAACGCAGTAAAGGACACTACAAAAATCTAGTAGGTGGTTTTGGGTTTGGTTGGGTAGTAGTATAATCACAAAGATTTTATTTTTAAGTTGCTGACTGGTGGAACCCTAAGTGGAGCATGATACCGCGGTAATGTATTCTTTTGTGTTTCGATGGTGTCTCGATTCGCTGATACTTGAAGGGCTACTAAATATTTGGTACCTACTTCTTTTTTTTTTTATTAGAAACTACAATCTGCAGACTCAAGGTCCGCACATTTTGTAGTTAATTTTTTTTTAAGTTTACGTATTTATGTTAAACAAAGTTAAGTCGATATACTTTTTTATCAGTAACTTTTATCAGGCACTGTTATTAATGAAATGAAATTTATGTTCCCATTAGCACTTCTTTCATATTCACAAATAACTTTTACTAGCCGAACCAATATCGCAAATGTATTCACTCCAATTTACGTCGAATAAATTTATCTTGCAGATACCGTGAAGGGTCCCGAGTGGTTAAATAATACGATGTAAAATAATACTCGGTCTAAACTTGACTGGTTTTTCAATGGCCAATATCTTGTAGAGGCGCACATGCCGTCAGGTGGTCACTTGGTAACATATTTCTTTTTATTTATACTCCTTTTAACATGCTCTAGTTAAAACAGAATCTACTTTTGTGGCGAAAATTTTATAATGATTATAAAATTGCTTTTGGCCAGACTCGTGTCGGGTCTTAATCGTTCCTTTTTTGTATAATTGCATGCGTGATGAGACGCCTGTAACTTAGTAGATAATGCGCTAAAGGTGTATCGCTTTGTCACTTGGCGTTTACACGCTTTTGACTGGAATATAAAGTGAGTATCAAGTCTGAATCTACACTCTAAGGTAGATTAAAGTCTATTTAGCCAATCAAAGATTGAAACGCCTTAAGGCTCTTAAAACTGTTTCATGATTCTTGCCGTCTTACACTAAATCTTGTTCGAATACGTCTAAAAAGTCTTGTGTTTCAAAAATGCATCAATATTGTCACCCATAAAGAACAAAAACGTCGGGGTCCCTTTGATTCGAAAATGAGCTTTAAAACCCGCAAAAAAGCGACCACACCACATAGTCATAGACCACCGCTCAATGGGAATAATTACTCAGTACAAGGTCGCAGTTTTAACTTTTTGCGAAGGCAAACAAATTTTTTAGTGAATCGTAATGTTTGCAAAAAACACGGTTTTGTTTTCGATATTTTTTCATTGCGCAAGATGGTTCTTACTGCATTGTTGAGGCGGTATTTTGCTGAAATGGCTTTGAATTTTTATAAAAGCGAGCTTTAATGGTTAAATTGTTGAACGCCTAAATGTAAAGGCCTATTCTAAAATGCATAGTTATTTTTTATGGCAAGATGGATTGATAAAGTTGTAATGTGTGATAAATTGAATACATTCGAGAAATTCTGTCAAATTATTATTTCTTTTAAAAAAGATCATTATGGCCACCGCGGATGATGTTTAAAACATTTAATTTTAATTTACCGCAGGTGGTTACGTGGCCGATTTATTTTATCGCCTTCCAATGTTTCACCGTCATTTTTATGGTGTAAGTACTTAATGTATTCTTGTTTATTATAAGAAAACTTTGCACTTGTGTTGTTTGTCACTTTGGAATGAAATATAGGAACATTCTATTCAATATTTCTTATTGTATTTCTCTTTGTTATTTTGGTTAAAAGTTATAATCTACAAACACATTTTCAATTTAGTTGGGCACTAAAGTTACATATTAAATCAGTTATTTTATTAGTGGAATTTCTAATACTATTTTTATCCTGTCAACCTTCCCTAGTTTTAATTTATGACTCTCTGTTAGTTATTTCAATGCAGCACGCAAAAATAGATCGACCGAGTAACATTATAGAGTCTAGATTATGCTTGAAACTTGNGCGTAAAGGCCTATTCTAAAATGCATAATTATTTTTTATGGCAAGATGGATTGATAAAGTTGTAATGTGTGATAAATTGAATACATTCGAGAAATTCTGTCAAATTATTATTTCTTTTAAAAAAGATCATTATGGCCACCGCTGATGATGTTTAAAACATTTAATTTTAATTTACCGCAGGTGGTTACATGGCCGATTTATTTTATCGCCTTCCAATGTTTCACCGTCGTTTTTATGGTGTAAGTAATGTATTCTTGTTTATTATACGAAAACTTTGCACTTGTGTTGTTTGTCACTTTGGAATGAAATATCGGAACATTCTACTGCATTTTTGAAATAAACTTCAGTCTCTTTGTTATTTTGTTTAATTGTTTCAAATATTTATAATTGGACAATAATAGCATCTGTCTCTACATAGGTATGGTCCTTTAATTCATGTTAAATCAGTTTTTTATTTTCTGAATTTCCAATAGTATGTATTTATATCCTGTCAACCTTCTTTAGTTTTAATTTATGACTCTTTGTTAGTTATTTCAATACAGCACGCAAAAATAGATCGACCCAGTAACATTATAGAGTTTAGATTATGCTTGAAACTTGTTACACGCTAATAGGTGTTACAGGTGTATTTCAGTCTCTAATAGGCATATCGGTGACGTCACATCCGACGAACAAAGGACTCGTCTCGTCCAGACGTCCAATTACAATATTGAGATAAACCTGCTAATTATAATAGAAGCGTACACTGTATCTCGAATGTCCTAAAGGCAAAAAACTAGCCAATATTTACCGCCGTGCCATTTGCCCCATGCACCGGCTGAGTGGACATCCTTGGCCGCGCAGCCTGCGAGCACCTGTCATCGTACAATAAACCTGGCGACACATTGCCTTAATAATCCCTCAAATTAAACGCTAGCTCTACCATCCACCTATTTTTTTATCATTAAATTTCTCAGCGTCCGCACATACGAGTTTGACGCCGGCCGGTAACAGATGGCGCTACCAACCATTCTATTTTCGTAACCCAAACCTTTTTTAATTTTAAACTTATCTAGTTATTTGCATTTTAATTTATTCAACTAATTTAATAAAGATTCACAAAATCTTCACAATAACCTGATTTCATCGTCATCTCATATTGCTCGGATCGTCAACTAGAACACTTTGTACCAGGGCGACATAAGGCGCGCAGAGATTTTACTTTGTAGCAAGCCTTCTAAAAGTTTATGGAGACTTGGTAATGCCGGTGTAGGTGTTATGAAAGGACCTGCAATATCCCCGATGTGTCTTACCGGCAATCCAGTCTGTGTTTTATTAATTTATATTTAATGGTATTATGTTAATATTTCAGTAATATAGCAAATAAATTGTATTTTATATGGACTCTACATAGATCTACTACAGGGATGATTAGCTTGAGTTAAGTATCTAATCCGCCATAAATATCGATGCAGCCAGTAATAGAAGTCTGAAGACGAAAAGATAGGTAAGATACACGGAAGTTAATAAATAATGTCTTCCTTTATTGTAAGATCAAGAAAAGCAAGTTATCTTCAGCTTATTACGGGGAGTCGAGGTACCAGGCGCGCAGAGCTCAAGAGAGGCGACTTGTGACGTACCTAGTTCGATGTTGTTGTAGAGGTACGCGGAGGCCGAGTGTTGGCGTTATGTCTCGGTGTGGGTGAGCGCGTGTAGTCGCGTCACAATCGCAACCACTGACGACATTTTGACGCATTTTCTTTCAATCTCCAATGTTTTCATTCATTTATTATTGCCAACAAATAATAAATATTTCGAAATTAAAATTAGAATGCAAATTCGAATAAATGCCAAAAATATTTAAAACTGGAATGTTGATTATGGTGATTCCCAATTTGAAAGAGTTTTTATCGCAACTCGCAGAGGCCCTGACGCGTCGAGGCAAGTGGCGTAAAGCGACTTTTTTCTAATTCGTAAGGTTGACGCTCTCGTGTTCACACGGGGGCACGCCTCACACGCTCGTGATCGTTGCCTCTAAGAACTGCCTATGCGGAAACACAACTTTGCTATTAACACGCGTTCCTTTGCTTTGAGATACTGCCACTTAGTACGTACATACCGTGTATGTAAGTGTTCGGATAGGAAATTTTCTCCACACCGCGAAGCGTTTCAATACACATTTCTAAACGCGAGCATGCGCTGTATGCATGTGGCTCGTTTGTATACAATTTTCTACACGTGAAAGCTGCCGATGTTGTGTTTTCAGATTCGTTCGTGAGCCGTTTCTCTGTTTCGGGTACCAGGACAGCAAGAGTCGCGAGGAGGTTTCCGAGCGCGCACGTGTTTTAGCAACGAGTGTTTTTTGTTTGTGTGCGTTATGGTGTTATCTAACACGCTTTATCTTTGTTTATCGGTGAAAACGTAACGACGACAGAGTTGATACGAGAAATACGGGTACGATAACACGAGTTCGCTAAACTGGTTGGGTTATTTTAAAATTCTTCGGGTAATAAACTTGGGATGTAATTATTTGTTGGTTAAATAAGTCATAGATTTAATGGAGTTTTTAGACGCGATGCGGCGTGTTTGTATGATAGGGTGGATGCACTGAGAGTTGATTGTACTCTGCCGGCTTATCATCTCCTGGTACACTGGCGCTGGCTGCAGTGGTGTCAATGACTTGATGGATGACGAATCTAAGCACGTGTCTGGATCAAATCAGAGTTCTTGATATGATTTTTTTGCTGTAATTTAGAATAACTAGAAAAAAATACTATACGGCTGCCCATAACTTAATTACTCTACGATTTTATCATGCTGAAATAAAAATGCGATCGTTTTTAGCGGAGCCGTCACTTGCGTATTTCAGGCTTAGTATAAAAATACTTCGATTGTAAAGCACCTGCCTAATTTATCGGTATCTCCATAAGGCTTAATGTGAACTGGAAAAAATACACTAGAGGCCATGCAAATTGCTCATTCTTTGCTTATATTTTAGTGTCAAGTGCGAGTCTGAAGGGCGTGTTCGAAGCCAGACGTAGAGCTATGTATTTCAACGCATTGTAGCA